ACATTTTTCGGTTTACGATTGGGTGTATTACGTCGTTATATACTGCTACCGCTTAAAGTTAAAAATCTAAGTATTTAAATACGTTGCGACTGCACAATACGTATTTGTTGCGTTTAACAAGGATATAAACGAACGGACCCAGCTACATAAAATCTTAATCTATGTCACGTCACAACGAAACTTTAAAATTTAATTATTTTCAAGCAGAAGTAAATGAATCAACTAAAACCTAACAAGATGAAGCTAACTAAGTTGAGAACCGAAAGCTGAAATAATATACAAACAGGAAAGGACAGTTAGAATATTAAATACCCTAACAAATATAAAGCACATATATACCTTAAAGCGGAGAAGAGTTGTCATAGGAGCTGATTGTAGTTTGCCCACATAAATATCTAGTTTTACGAAATTTTATGCAAATGACTTATTTTCTGCTGATTGTTACTATGACAGCTATAAATATAGTGGTCCTCCTGCCCCCAGCGAAAAGTTAATTTTCAGTTTCAATTTAATTTAATTACTTAGCACTATGAAGGATTTAAACAAACCATTCCAAAACATCAAAAGGTCATCATTCGGTATATCGATGCCATTCAATTAACACCAAAAATATATGCTTATATATACTTATGCTTATATAGGTATTTAGTTTAAACCTTCTGATGGTCTTTAATATTTACTGTCAGCGCTTAACGCCAATTCGGGGTTGCTGTGATTGTTGTTGTATTTGTTGCTGTTGCTGGAAAAGTGATTAAACAATTTCATTAATTTTACGTCAATACCACGCCCTCTGCGTTGGCAACGCCCACTTTGGCCAGCTCTTAAAAGCCAGCGGCTACTTCAAGCCCACCTCTGCGTCAAATATTATTAAAATTTACGAGACTCTTCGCAAATGCCTTTCTTACAAAGTTTTTTTGTTCATGCCGCATGGAAAGCCCAATAGCAAGTGGGCGAGCAGTAGAGAGGGAGAGCTTGGAGAGGCAGCTAGATAGAGGCGATAGAGTAGAAATGAAAGGGTATAGAGGCGGGCAGGGCTGGCTGGCGAGTGGCCCTCGAGACGCACCGTTTGCATTAATGGTGCAAAGTCGAAAAATAAAAGCCATTTTTGTCAGAAGGGGCGACGCCAGCTGCGATTCAAGTGCACTTTGAACCTAAAAGCATAAGCCTCGCAGCCTCTATCACTTTCTCCCTCCATTTTTCGTCTCCCTCTCTTACTGTCTGTCTGCATGTCTCTGTCTCTGTCTCTCCGTCTCCCTCGCTGCCTATTGATGCAGGTGCTGGGCAGGAACAAAAGGAAATTGTTAAATTAAGTGCTTGCTAGGCGGAACAAATGGAGCTGGCGTCTCTGGTCGCACCCGCTGCCAGGGCAAAGTTGAAGTGCAAGGCCTTGCCGCAAAGGTAGCTAGTGAAAGTTTTTAATTTACTGTTCTGCACACATACACACACAAAGACACACACACACACATATATAGGCATGCACACACTGACTAATCGGCACTGCAGTTGCGACAACTTTTGTCATTGCCTACTTTTTGGCACACCGCGACTTGTAATCAACGCGTGGCAAGTCTTGCTGCGAATTTAGGCCACAGCAGCTGCCTTTAAAAAGGCCACGCCTATCCCCAACCTTGCTCATCGCCCTCCACAAGTCTCAACACATCTGCTGCCTCTCCGCTGTTTTCGATTTCGTTTTCTCCTGTGCACGGCGCATTCGTGTGGAAAATTAAATTCACTGACTGTCGGAGTTGCAATAGCTGCCCGAAATACGAATCCCGAATAGCGAAACCTCGAAGTCCACGAAATTGGTATACCCTTGCAGCGGGTATAATTACTTTTTCACGCCCTGTGCCAACACATTCGACGCTTCAATCTCAGTCAATCTGTGATTCAGGTTTGGAAATTGACTCGTTTTTCTTTTCACTGTGTGCTGCATCAGATTCCGCTATATTCTTTTCTGTCACATGAACTATCCGCTAAAAAAAAAATGGTTTTATGCTTAAAATGAAAATATGACATCGTGCTTTACCATCTGCAACTGTATTCAAATGTCGATACCCCCAAAATAGCTATTCGTAGGTTTTTCCTTTTTCTGCAACACCTATTAACATAGTAAACCAAGTTACAGTTGCAGTTGAAGTTGTTCGCTTCCATTCAATTTTTAGCAGTGCTGCCTGCCACTTAATTTCCGCCAAAGTTGGTAATTTGCCGTTGACGGGATGGGTAGGAGATTTGTATTGGTTGGAATATGAGGTGATGTAGTTGACGCACAGTGTCAGACTATAAGCATTTTGTACACTCTGCACTCGCATTTTTGAATTTTTTCAACGTTTTTTAAGCGGTGGCCCCACTGTGCGACGTGATGCTCAGCCCAACATAAAAGTATTGTCGCCTGTGGAGCGATTGGCAAAGCATTCTCTTTCATAGACAAACGTGAAGCTGACGTCGGCCAAATTGAATTGTAATCTATGTGCGCACACACACACACACACACAATTATATATACAGCAGTGTGCACAGCGGAAACGGAAGTTTGTAAGAATGCAGCGTCGCGTAGGCACACCACAAAGCGACTCTTACAGCCTCAGACCCAATTACTGACATTTTATTCTGGGCCAAACTGAACTCAACTCAACTGAACGGAGCTCAGCCGATCAGCGATGCGCACAAAATCACTTCCGATGAGATTTCAATTTTGTGATTACCTAATTGACACTCAAAGTAATGGAAGTTGCCTGCCGCCCGCCTCTGCCACTGCCGTCAGTGGCCAACCAGGAGGCAGCCATCAGATTAAAATGTCTTTAAGTTGTCTATGAGTATGAAAAATTCAGTAATGTACAATCGCTAACAGTTCATAAAAGTAAGCCATTACATATAAAAAGTACTTTTCGGCAAGACCCCGCTGTGCCCGGCCCAGGTATAATTCTTCGTATCACCTGGTACATATTGCTAAATGTGAAACTGGGAATAAACAAAGCGCTACAGTGAAACATTTGGCAGCAGTGTCATTTGCTCTTACCCTTGTATAGGTTATTATAATTTTGTCAAATGTGTTAGGCATAGGAGGAGACCTTTTCGACCCGATAAATTATATATATTCTATATAAGCATTGATAAGTTCAGCTATATGATGCTTACGAAAGAGCCACATTCTACCAATATCTCTTATTAGGTCGGACACCCGTGTAGAAAGTCATATCGAAATGAGCAGATCGAATCGGCTGTTCATGCTCGTAATTAATATATATAGCGTGAACAAATCGCAAACGCAAGCTATGACAAATATCCGCAAATGTTTTGCAGTTGATTTAAACAAAATAATTGTACATAATATGTATACATATATATTGAAAATATTTTTCTATGTACGTGTGGTTTTTGTGCCGCGCAACGGAAATGGCCTAAAATTAAATGCTCACATCGCAGTTGTTATGTCTCTGGTTGTTGCTATTACTGTTGTTCCTGTTATTATTGTGTGTGCAGAGCTTTTATGATTAAACAAAAAGTAAAAAAGAATTGCTCATAAAATGGTGTCAAACCATAAAACTGAGCGCCAGCTACAACAACACAATTTCAACCATAAAATATTGCTTATGACAATGCGCTTCCAACAAAAAACCAAAAAAAAAAAAAGAAACACAAAAAAAAAGAATCCCTCTGCTTGAGCTCCACGCGTTTCATTCAATATGAAAATTAAATTTTACGCTTAAAAGTATGCATTAAACATACAGCGCAAAAATCTATTGAAAAGAGCAACAGGGATCACAGTGTCACATAAAGGACCGGGATAAGTATATAGAAGAAAAGTCGCATAAAGTTTCGAGCACCTTCTGCTTCTGTGTATAAATGTGTGTGCGTGTGTGTGAAAAAGGTGTTATCGACCCTGTCACATGGCCCTTGTTAAATTGACTGCAAAATTTACAGGCAAATTTGTAACAACAACAGTGACAGCCACAGCATTAAAAAAAAAAAAGAAACCAAAAAAAGGTGCTCTGGTCTGTGAGTGCCCAGCCAGAAGATACCCTATACTCAGCCTCAGCCAAAGCTGCCATTGGAATCATTTGAGCTTGCTCTATACATACATAAATGTTGATAGTTGTTGCTATAATTTTTCTCAACTATCCCGGTCAACTCTTCATCTAGCTGAAGATAATATGGGCACTCTGTGTGTTTCGAATTCTAACTTCTGGAGATATTTGCACAAGTCTGTAATACCCATGTGTTTTTTAGCCACTTTCAATGAGTACAGGGTATACAAAGGTGAACCAAAACTGAATAATAAAAACAATAATGTGTCGCAAATTGTGCGCGAATGAATAAAACAAAACGGATGTGGGGCCATAAAAACTGCGTTTAAAACTCGCCAAAACTCTGGCACCCCACGCACAGACAAACAAATGTATAGAAAAACACTTGCACCCACTCGCACACAGTCAGATAGAGTATACATAGAAGATGGGTAAATATGCAGGACGCTGGATGCTAGGCTGGCTGTCACGCTGGCCAGGATGTATAACATTTTATGGTACAACGGAAAACTCAGCGGCTTCCTTCCGGCACAGTTTCAACTTGTTGGTCAGCAATTCTCTCTCTAACTGGCTAACGAGGGCTGCTCATTAAGATACTGTCAACTAAAAAAGATAAAAAATTGCGTTACATTCCTATTACGATATATACATATTATGAAATAAATGGCTTTGGACAACATTTAAAATAAAAGCATTTAACTAAAAGAAGCCTCTGCATTAAAAATATCCTGCACGTGCATGTTGAGCATCAAAACTATCGATAATAATTCTATATTCCTATATTTTATAGCGTCGATAAATATAAATATTAAATATGCGACTCAATACCTAAAATGCTTAACATCTTCAAAATTCAACACGTTAAGAAAGAAACGACCTACTCGAAAAGTTCTCACAGTGTAAATGTACTTTACGCCTAAAAATGCTTAACAGTCAATTAAAAATTACACAGATATATCGATTATTGTATATATATTGAATAACTTCTTGGTTGTTGAAATTTTAAACAACAATAACAACGCGATCGCTAAACTATTGATAAACATCAATATCGAGTGTGCACTGGTTGACCCTCGCTCTGAACACACAGACAACAAGATTAAGTCCACTGCAGATAGCCTGATATCACCTTGTGTGCTTGTTCTGACCACCTGACCCGGTTTATGTCCAAGTTGCGTCTAATATGCTGTAATTGACCAGATAGTTGAGATTGTGCGTAGCATAGCCCCAGCGCAGCTGCTGATTGATGGGCAGACAATAATAGTTCCCCACAGATTTTGGGGCATCTTGGCAGATGAGACTTCGGCTTGCAAAGGGAAATACCTGAAAGCCGTATATTTAATATGCCCTGAAAGCAATTTATGGTTCACATATGACAAGCGGTTTTGACAACGAGCGAAGGCTAATTATACGCGATGCAGACACAGGATTGCAATTGCAGTTGTAGCAATTAGTATTTAAGCCATGAGAGAGAGAGAGAGAGAGTGAGAGAGAGAAAGAGGAAGCAAATAACCATTTGCAGCTCATCTCGAATTCGTTTTCGAGCAAATCGCTTGTGAGCCAAATTGATGAAATTGTCTATTTATTCACACGTCGTTTATTTTCACGTTGACACTGGCAGCGCCGAGCAAAGGGCAATGGGCAGCGACAGGCAACAAAATGGCTGCCGTTGCACTTGATAACGATAACGATAACAATGACGATAACGACGATAATAATGATGATGATGATGCTGATGATGATGCTGATGATGATGCTGATGATGTTGTTGTTGTCGACAGTGGCTTACTGATAGGCTAGAACAATGGCAGCAGAATACTCGGCAATAACAATAACAGAACGTTTACCATTCAAACGGAATGAGACAATCTAGTAGCCAATTTAGTCGTAATGGCAACAAAATGTCACTTGAGTCTCTCTGCTGCAACATTGCAAACAGCAATAAGAGCTAAAAGCCATAGGCAAGGCAACACAAGAGATAGACAACAGACATTCAGACAGAGAGACACTGAGTTAGAATGAGAGCGAGCTAGCAATGAGCTTTGCTGGGCAATGCAAACATTTTTTTCCAGCTCGTTGCCATTTCATTTTCTGCCCTCTGTTTGTTTGTGGGTATGCGTGTGTGTGTGTGTGTCCAAGTTTTTTGTGACATGCCTAAGCACTGATGGCAACAACAACAACAAAACTACAACAACATCAAAATACAGGACACGTTGATGTGCGTGTTGACATAAAGTTTTCGCCTTTCATCATCCTTGTCCCGGCGCTCCGTAAACTTTGCCAGCCCGGCGGCCCTCTGTCAACAAATTTTGCAGAAGCAGCCCCGACCAGGCGATCCTACAATTTTGGTCATTAACAGATGGGTCTAAGCGAACCGAGAGTACAGCTCTGATTTAAAATCAATGCAAAAATAAAACTTATCCAAGCGTGACTGTAAGGTAGGCCCACACAATGACTGTCAACGTGCCGTATAATCGATTAAATTAGCAGCGACAGGCATTAACAAAGTAGTCTAGACGACAGTGCTCGACTGAGAGTTACCCTGTACACAGCGCTGAGTTGCCAGCTCCTAGGATGAGTTTTAGTTGATTCAGATGGAAGTTTCTTTTAGATTCGAATCTGTTCGTATCGTATCTTCGTATCTGTATATCTTGATCAGCGGCAGACCTTTTTATGAACTCGGCTGTTAATCAAGAGCATATATACATTATTTAATCGAAGCTGCTTTCCTTTTCCCGTTACACACAATCGCAGAAAAGCATTATATCCTTTGCTTTAGAGTATAACAATATGTTTAATGTGGTTAGCGTCAAAAAGTTGAGAATCGTTTGCTGTGCGGTGTGCCCCGGCAAATTGAGGCTAAGGCCAAAACAAATTTCAACAACTTTTGGGCTGGTAAAGTAATTTATTATTGCTGTTGTTGATGCAGCAGCTGCGGCTGGCGTTTCTATGTGTGTGCCACGGTGCGTATGAATAATGACAATTGCCAGTTGAAATGGAGTGCAACCGTTTTAGACATCCATTCAACAGAGCCTCTTCTAACAGCTCACGGGCACTGGCACGGGCACAAGCACAGGCACTGACGCTTCATTTTGGTTGCAACGCGCTTTACGCCAAAGTGGATAGGTGCAGAAATTGCAGCTCAAAATGGAGGCTAAATCATTTTGCCCTCCACACTTTGGCGTCTGCTATTCTGTTTGTGTGTATAAACGGTATACTGGCTGTCATAAAAAACATTGGCTAACAATTTACCTTCTGTTAGAACTATTAAGCATAAAAAGCAATTGAGTAAACTATTCCTCTCTTTGTTTAAAGTAAATATCATTATGTATAAATTATGCTTGATCATGTATAAAATATGCTTAATAAGTGTCCTTAGGAAATACAAAATTAATTATTCAAAATCTTGCGCCTGCCTTTTCAGCATTCTAAAAGTTGTATTTTCTTCAAAACAAAGTTCGAAAATGATCTTTAAGCTTAAGGAGACTATTTATAGTGCAGTTAACAGTCGGCCCGTAACATGTGTACTGTGGCACCGACTCAGTCAGCAAAGATGACAACACTCATATGCCCATATTTCGATTTGTGCCTTTTGGTCTATTTTCGGGTCCTTTTCCTTTTTGCAATTCTGTTCCACGTCGTGACTTCACTTGCTTTCGTTCTGCCACTCTGCGGCTCTACTGCTGTGATGAGGGCATGTGTTGATGATGGCGTTGATACAACCATACAATGTCACGCTCATGTCAACTGTTGGACTGTTATTGCACACACACACACACGCCCGGACACAAACACACATAAAAGTCAGGCAATTGTACCAAAGGCGATGGACACGACAGCCATAAGTACTGAGCGATATACCGGGGCGAAAACTTGTTATCATTCATGTGTCAAATTTGGAGTTTGAGCTTTAACACCAGTGTGCACCTTAAATGGAATTTTTTATCAAATGAAAACTTTGAGTTACAGAAAACAGTGCAGATAAATTTTGCAGAAAGTTTGCTTTAAACATTGTCGAAATTTATTTAAAAAACATAACGTTTATTTGCTTACCAAGTTGCAGTAAAACTATGAATAAAATTTCCATATTTTCGTTTGTCGTTTTATTTCTTTAATTGGATTTATTTATTAAACGGCTTAAAAGTACTCTGTTGGGCGCTATTGGTTTATATTAAACTTATAAAAATTTGTGCTATGCTTTAAACAATTTGTTAAATAACATAATAATCATTTACAGTTACAACCAAGAGTTTATGGCTGAGCCATGATTGATAGCCAGACTTACTTCAAGCTGAATAGACCGGATAATATGTTAGATTTTCGATTTTCATGAAGAGAACATAAGTGGCTTCTTTAACTCAAGCCAACTCGTTGTTGGCTTAAAGTAAACGCCAACCAATTTAATTGGACTAGCCGTGTGCCAGGTACAGAATCCAGCAAAGGCATGGTCCAGCTACCATAACAATGGAAAGAATTTGATATCAAAATCAGCACAATGTGAAAACAAACCATACGAAAGGCAAGGGAAATGGCCTGCATCGTCGCAGTTTTGTGGCTTAGAGAACTTAGAGTCGGATTGAGAGTGCAAAACCCAAATGGGAGTAAGAGTCAGAGTCAGAGCAAGCCGCTGCCCATGGCAATGTTGCCACTATGGCTGACTTAGCGGTGCTCGCATTGAAACATGCTAAAACATTGGTTAACTGCCACATACTCAACAGTCAATGGGCAGATGACCACAGTCACGACAATAACAACTAAAGCGCCGGCAAAAAAAAAAACATCCTAAAAATGGCAAGGTGCAACCGAAATGGTTTTTATAGCTGCCAGTTGCGAGTAGTAAATTCAATACAGAACAACAGCAGTAGCAGCAGCAGTAGCAGTTACTGCAGCAGCAGCGGCAGTGAAAACTGCGCAACCAACGAGAAATGAAACAATGAAATTTATTGTGCAACGTTGGTCGTTTGGCGCATTTCATGCTTGTAGGTCATGTGCTTGTTGTTGCTGTCGTTGCACTATTTCAAATGTCAAATTTTTTGCCCCCAGGAAGCAGCAACAGCAGCGGCAGCAACAGCAACAGCAGCATCAGCAGCGGCAGCAGCAGCAACGATTGACATTATTGACAAGCGGCTAACGGCAACAACCAACTTTTGTGCTCATCAACGTTAGGCAATGCCGACCCTAAACGCAGATCTCGTTACTCTGCCAACTCTATAAGCCCTCCGCTCGCTCCTACACTCAACCCGCACGTCTTTGACAGTAAATTTCAAATTGAATTTATAGCTATGGGGTTGGCCTGGCCTGGCCCAGATGAATCGCTCAACATCCAAACAGCGCCCCTTCGCCGGCCTTTATGTATTTATGTTTATTTCCATTTTATGATATGCACTGGCGCCTTTTTTTATGAACCGCACGTGGTTCATTGAACCAAAGGCCACAGCCACATAGTCAGAACCAGAACCAGAGCCAGAGCCAGAGCCAGCTGGCCCGATCCCAGTTGGTGGTCGGCGGCTTTGATTAGCGTTCAACTTGATTACCGGGCTTTAGTTTTTAGTGTCGGGCTGGGCCTAATATTAGTTGGGCTGGCATTCAGCCCCTTTCAATATCCTGTGGCAACTGAAAACGCTAAATATAATGAAAATTTTCACTCTGTATTCTCATCTTTTATGTGCTGCCTTACAAATAGGTTTCATAAACATAATATTTATAAATGCCATCAGAAAATTAAAAATATATTTTATTTAAAAAACACACACACTAATGCCACAGAATTGAATTTTAAATATAAATATGTTTCTATTTCGACAAAATTAATTGAAAACAAACACAATAAAAAACTTGAACTAGAATACATAATACATGCACTATTGTGTGACTAAAAGCACCATATCTTTGTCAACTTTTGTCGGATTCATGAATGGATAATGGTTAACAGGATATCTGAGAGGCCGATTGTTTTCTCATTAAGTCTGATGCATGCTTTTCTATATTTGCGCTAAGCTTTTCATCTGATCTAACGTTCTGCTTTTATTTTATTCTCTTTGCAGGTAAATATTAACTACTGAATGAGCCGAGACCGAATCGCCAGTCTGAGACAGGGCCTGGCCAGTGGCTAAGCCTGCGCCTAAATAAGCCATTTGTCAGGCTTACTAGTAGCGTTATCTGCCACAGTTGCCACTGCATCCCTTTCCCCCATTTGGCAGGGTCTGTTAATTACACAGGCGGGCGCACAATTTGGCCCATCTGCACTTCAGTTCACTAGTCCGCGCTGCAAATGCATTGCCATGTCCATGTGTCCCTGCGATACCACACACTCACACACACACACACACGCACACACATACACATGCACAGATACACAGATAGAGGCGAAAAAAAATCAGAGCCTTTAACACGACAAACATTCATTTCAATTGCCCCGAGTGGCCCCCTTCCGGTTCCCTTATTCGACACATTGGCTGCCTTTGTCGACGAAGCGTGCCTCGCAGCACCAAAATGAAATTGTAAAATATTTCGCAACATATTTTTGTTGGCGCGGCATCTCCACTTTCAACAATCCGCCGGACCATAAATCCACGCCACTGCGCTCGTAAAAGCCGAGACCCTCACTGACCACCCGCCCGCCGCCACTGTCCACTCTTTAAATGCAGAATCCTTGCGCCCGCCGCTTATGCTTTACACACACACATTTTTTTTTTTTTTTTTGCCACGCCTGCCCTTTTTTTGTGTACTTTTATGACGCGTCGCTCAACTTTTGACCACTTGGCCGACCGCTACATTTTAATATCCACACCGCGCGCAACCAGACCAGACAATGTCCACATGCAGGACGCAATCACGTCCAGGCATGGCCATAGCCGTAGCCATCGCCAGCTGCTTGTTGCGGCATGTGCCGCATTTTTGTGAACGCCTACAAATATGCTCTGGCTTGCCAGATTTCGCACAGTGCATAACTTGTCCCAGGTCCAACAGGGCATCCAGCAAAAGGGCGTGCATGTATGTTAGTACAGTAAATACATATGTACTTCAATGAAAATGTCCTGCAGACAGTAACTGTAGAGTAAAATCGCATAGAATATGACCGTCTATACTCGGAAAGTTGCTTTGATATTTGCAAGCAATCATATATAGGTTATTTATTTATTTTAAATTTACTTTTGGTTTTATTAAAAATATTAAACTTATAATAATAAGGAAAATTCCCAATTATAACAATATCGATCTCTAGTACTAAACGCCCAGAATAATGTATTAAAATATAAAATGTGCTGTGCTAAAGGAAATTTTTGGCTGCCAACCCAAACCCATGTTCGGTGGTTCGATTCAAGATTCAACCGAATGCCTCACTTTGAGGTGCGCTTCGTGAAACAAGTTTTCCACTTTCATTCCGGCTTTGATTCACATATTTAGTTCAGTTTTCAATATATTAAACCAATTCATTCTAAATTCAATTTGTTGTATAAATATAATCAAATTTATCGAAATAAGATAACTTTTTCTATTCACAACACTGAAAACGAACACATTTTGCCACAACATTTTCAATTATGCATATAAAAACATTGTTTTGAAACAAACCATAAATAAAAGAACCGATTTAGGTTCAGCCGTTCTTTAGTCAGCTAATCCGGTTTAATGTTCGGTTTATGGTAACAAAAAAAATTGAGTTTCGTGTTCGAACAGCCTTGATTTGGGGCAATAGGGCATCGGCTTGGTCCCATTGCATATTCCAGAGTGCAGAACATACCGAAGAGGAATAGATACTTGTTTTGAGTTCCAACAATGACAAGGGTCTGCAGCGCGAGGGCAAGAACAGTGTAGGAGTAGGCAGTCCAAAAACCGCCAGACGAGAAGGCCGTTAAATGATTTATCTATGCCAATAAGAATTCTATAAAAATATGTAGTAAATTGTTTGTTGTTGCAGCTGCCACACTTTACTGAACAATGTACATGCAACGCGAAAATTATGCCTCACTCCCAACATGACCGTGGGCTGTCCTGCGAAAATATGCAAATCGAGAACTATACGAGCTCAAATTTCCATTGCTGCTGGTCAGCAATGCACAGTAACCGACCGTCCCTATGGAAGGCCTGACTGCAATCAGGGCTCAACTTTGTGACCATATTGTTTTGTTGCATGTAGCACGACCAACACGACGCATGCCTCGAGCTATGTAACCAAAATGTCGCAGTGCCACAATATTTTTGACCGGGACCACGCCTAGTGCTTTAGTAGCGCTTTTTTATGGTTGTATTTAGTGTTAGTAATAATTTTGAATTTGGACAGACAAGAATTCAATCAGAAATCCTGCTAGGACTAAGCTTTATCAGACCACAGACATTTAATAAAAGTTTGGCTAGGTATGAGACCAATTGTATTAATATTCCGGATAAGCCTCTTGAACTG